TAAATAACTGAGTTACAGAGCACAGCTGTGTGACAGCACCTATGGTCTCCCATAAAAGCATATAAGAATTTTCATTTTTCAGTATTTAAAATTCCCCTTTTGTGTTAGGAAAAGACAAATCATGTGGCCCCTAGTAATGTCATTTCTTAGGATCGAGATTTGACTATAGACTCTGTCATTTACTGACAGTGTGAGTTTTGACCCCGGTTTCCTTAATTATTATCTGGATGGGGTAATATTTCTGACTTGTGTGCAAATCAAAATGAGATAGTATGTCATGTAGACTGTTTAGTTAGCATCCAAAAATCTGAAATGAGGATAAGTTCTGGTTGAAATCCTCCCAGTGGTTATAGGTGCTGCCCCCTGACTGGGAGCTGAGCTCAGAGGAGGGGTACATGCCCAACCTCACCTGGGAAACAGCTTTGGACCTGTGCAACTGGCCATGACACCAGGAGACTCCCCTCCTCGCTCATGCTCCAAGCTTTCAAGGCAAGATGTTGCTTTGATCTGGGGCCCTAGCAGAAACTCTCCCTTGGCAAGCCAAGCCACGACAGCTGGGCTCTTCCATGACAACTTTCTGTAGACAACATTGAAAACATTCTAAATGGCAAGTACTCTAGAGAAGACTTGATGAAGGAAACCAGGTGTGTGATGAGAATCCAGCTGGAGAGAACTGAAACTGTGCCAGATAGTTTCAAATTTTAAAAAAGGAAAAACAAAACACAACCACCAAGCCCTTATGAGAATCTGTGAAAGTGTCTCCACCGTGGTGGTCTTGGTGAGCCAGGGACCCCACGTTGCCTCCTCTGATTGCCTCCAGTTCATTTTCTATGCAATTTGATAAAAAGGAATGTGACAAGTTCTATTTCAGAGTTTGCAATCAGGCAAGAGAGGATTATGCTCATCTTTGCTGATCCAGGACACCAAGGAACCAATTAAAACTCTTTCTCACATTTCATCCTCCAGAGATACCAATGTAATGATGAAGTTTTAGTCTACAGCATCCACGAAGTAGGTGCTAGTGATTCCTGCCTGGTGTGGATGTGGGGGAGATCACCTGGTTCAGCCCAATGGATCAGTTAGCAGGGAGTTGAAAGGCTTAGGAAGATGGAGTAGCTTCTGCCACACTCAATACTCAAATCAGGCTCCAAGGTTACAGGATTCCTTGAATACATCCAGAATTCCTTGGATTCACTGGCACAGGGTGGCTGAAGCTTCTGGAAGCCTGCAGACCCTTTGCCCAATAAATGATCAAGACATTCAAATGAGTCCATATCTCCACAGCCTCCTGCTCAGGAGCAGATACAGATTTTGTGGAGTGTAAAACTTCCATAATTTGAGGAGGCTCCATTGAAGGCCAAGCCTACATAAGTGTAAATGCAAAATTAGGTATGAAGATGAATGCTTATTTGGAATAAAAATGTATGGAAGTATATTAAACATTTTTTTAAGTTGAAAAATACCACACATTAAAATATTTAGAAAAGTAATCTTTTTGTGCTAGACATACTAGGCATACCTGGTATAAAACCCTTTTTCCTAGTTTTTCCTGCAAATTCCCTTATAACTTTATTATATTATTAACTTTTATAATATTTTCTATAGAGAGGATGAAAGATAATTCCATCTAATTGATTTTTATTTTTAATAGTTTAGGGATGTTTCTTTCAGTTTCACTACTCGTTGGTAATTTTACCACTAAATTATTGGCAAAATTTTTAGAATTATTAAATATTGGAAAAACTCTTACACATTTCCTTTATATATAAGCTATAATATTTCAGGACATTTCAACTTATTTGTGTGTGTGTGTGTGTGTGTGTGTGTGTGTGTACACTTGACAACTTAATTTTAAATGTTCTTTGAATTGATAAACTCATTAACCATTTTATCATCAGTTTTATATTGGTCCCCACATGTTGTGTCAGCATGGTGGTGATAGGAATATTACTGGAAGCCATTCCTACTCGTACTATTATAATAACCAGACACAGAAATGACTACTAATCACATAAATAGTCCCCCCTGAATCTTAAATACCGCTTCTTCACAAGTTTCTCTTAGTCAGGTTCCTAGGATTTCCACAGCCACTCTAATGTCACTCAACTCAGGAAATGTGATGGAAGATGTCCTAGTGAAGAAAAACAATGATCTTAACTAATGGTTTAAATAACCTACTTTGGCCAATTTTACAAAAATACGTGACCATGTGACTCTATTACACGGGCCTTTCTCAGGGCCCTGGAAGGGACCTGTACAAGCAAGGAGCCCTCACATATAAGCTTTTTTTAGCTCTGTGGGAAATTAACTTATGAAGCTTCACTCAGATTAAACTGGGCCTACCTCCCTGGATGGTGGCAAGCTGGGCCTCCCATCACTAATCACTAAATGTTGATACATGAGAGGGAGTTCAGTCCAACCCCATTGCCCAATGTCTCCTCAACTTGAAAGTCTTGCCAGTCTTGAGTTCCATTCCTTCATGTCCCCACCTTCACACAGTAGATAAAAAGTAGATGAAGGTTTAAGGAGTTTGTTCCTCCAGGAAAATCGGTGTTGGTTGGACTTTTCTATCCATAGCAGAAAGGGCTTCCTCTAGGTTCTCTAGGGCCATTGTCTGTGTAAATAATTTGAATCACGCCAAATCACTATGTGAGCACCATGTTGACAGCCCACTCTCTTGCAATCCCACAAAAGAAATGCTGTGCTGCCCAGCAGGAGTGATTCTGACTGTACCCCTATAATCAGAGCCTGGCCTTAAGGCTTCAGGATACCCTTATAGGCATGACTCCTAGTGCTCCTTGGAGCATCGATGGGTTCCATGTGTGGGGTGGAGGATTGGAGCAAACCCTGAAGAGGAGAAATGAGAACTGGGACTGAGGCACATGCAAGTCCAAGTCCAGGCATGGGGTACCCCCCTGTATGACACTGTCGGCCCCTGAGCTCCCTCTGTCAGGATCTAAGGGCAGCACCAGTAGGGAGAGTAGTGGCAAGTCCCTTTCTTCTTCTTTTTTTTTAATGTAGCAATGACTGTGAAGCATACAGAGATAGAACCTGCTGGAAAAACCACGTTTTCCCTGAAATTGTTCACTGTCGTTTTAGTTAAATGTTTTTCTTAAAGAGTGTGATGATTGAACTTTAAAAAGTGGTAAGCATGTTTTCTTCAGTGATAAAATATGTCAGTGTTTGACTCCTGGCCACTCACTACACTTCCAACCTTACCTTTCTGCTGGGACCTTTCTCTCTAGCCGTCTCCACATGACCCCCTGCTCATCATTCTCATTGCACTGGTTCTTTGTGGTCATTCCTGGATGATACTTGTTGAAGACTTGAAAGAGTGCTAACTTCAGAGTCCATTGTCTTGTCTTTGTTTAGGAAATGGGGGTGATGTTGGCCAATGGAAACCCATAGTACATGAGCATGCTGGGACCCTCTTTTACTAGTTTCCCCTTTTTGCTTGTGCTCTGCCTCTCGGTGTCTCTGTCTTGCTCCTCCCAGAGTATAGTGCTTGTTCCTGCATATGATGGTAGCAGAGCATGTGTGTAAAGAATGCTCGAAGGAACTTATTTTAGAGATTATAAGATTTAAGGAAGACGCATGAGCTTCAACTATCTGAAGAGTCGTCATGTGGAAGAGAAGAATGCCTTATTCTTTGTGACTCTAAGCAGTTACACTGGGTCAGTGGATAGAGACAGAATGAGCTACCTTGTGCTGATGACCCCTTGGCAGATACGTGAGGAACTGGATTCAGACGTTGGTTGGATTCAGAGTTCATGCTTCTCTGACAAGTTGAAACGACATATGAGAAAATCTGAATAATATCCCATGGTTAGATAACCTCCTGAGAGAGTAAGGGCAGCCCTTTTCTGTGATTCTTATCTTCTCCTAGATCCAAGTGTACTTCACCCCTGGAAACTACCCCATGTCTTTGACTCTTGTGTGCTGCCTTCGCCCCTATATCTTTAGCCCCTATATGCTTTGCTGTCATTCCCTGTCAAGGACCCCATTCTGTCGCTGATGCTGGCTAATTCCTATCATCCACAGGCTCCTCATAGTCATGGCCTCTGTTATGGCCTGTCAAATCATCACCTTGCTAGGGCTCAGCTTATCTGTATGTAGCTCAAGCCAGGGGTTCATGTGTGGACTAGTCCTTCCCAGAGCCTGTGATTCCCTGAATCTGTCACTCTTGCCTCATTTGGATTGGGGAGAGTCTTAGTGTTTGTCTTGACTGGACAGTGGATCCCACTGCGGGGATGGGTCATGGAGTAATTTCACCACCATGCTCATCCTTGGTCTTTCCAATTTTTTCCTTCATGGAATATTAGATTCACAACAGAGTCTCAGGAAATGTAGTTTTACCTGCCTGGTTTGACTAAGCTTGTCTTAACTTACTCTTCTCCTCCTAGCTTTGTTCTCCTTCACCCCACCCCAATACAATGCTTTCCACCAGTGAAGCCGCTGAGCAATGCTTAGTTGCACCACAGGCTCTCAGATCATAAGAGGATGGCCAATTTCTGTTTGTGTTCATGCCATTCTTGTATGTTTAAATAATAAATTACCCCTTAAAGGAGAAATGATCTATATTTAATGAAGCCTTTGGAAATAATGTCTTGCTTTCATTACTAGAAAAAAAATCAAATTTTATGGATTTACATATTGTAAAATATTTTACTACATGGAACCTACCCTTCATCATTAGAAAGAGAAAAACAACTGTAGAGGAAAGAAAAGTGTGATAAAACAATTAAATTCATTCATTCTCTCTCAAGTGTCCTGAACTTAGCCCTACCTGCCCAGAGAAAAGATGGTTTGTGTACCTAACAGTAGGAGTGAAAAACTAGCCGTGTCAGACACCCACAGCTAAGTTGATTTCAGTCCTCACCCACGTCATCTCATGGGAGCAACATGGACCCATCAGCTGCTAGGCTTTCCCTGTCAGTTATGCTCTATTCTTCTTGCCAACTCTTTTGTCTTCCTGGACCAAGATTCTTAACCTTTGTCACATCACTGACTTGGAGCGTCTGCTTGATCACCTGGCAGAAGTGACGCCAGCTCTGGAGTACCTCAGCCTGCTGGGTAATGTGGCGTGTCCCAATGAACTAGTCAGCTTGGAAAAGGATGAGGAAGACTACAAGAGATACAGGTGAGTATCCAGGGGTTTGAACAGGGTGAAAGAAGGGAAAAAGTAGCATACTTGGGGGGATAATATACTATTTGGTGTATAATAGGTATTTGGTAAATATTAGAGGACTCCTCATAATAATGTTAAACTTTCACCTTTGGGTAACCTGTAGCCATTGCCTCCTTTTGTTGAGATCACAGGAGTCAAGAAACATGAAAAGTTTTTGGGTGGTCTAGGTCAGGGGTTGACAGACACTTTTTGTAAAGGGCTGGATAATATTTTATGCTTTGAAAGTCATATGGTTTTTGTTGCAACTATTTAACTCTGCTGTTATAGTGCAGAAGTAGCCATAAACAATTTGTAAATGAACGGGCATGGCTATGTTCCAATAAAAATTTATTTAAAAAAACAGGCAGCAGGCCAGATTTGACCCCTGGGCAATATTTTGCTGACCCCTGCTCTTCCTCTGGTCTGCCTTAGAGTCACTTTTGGGAGAGAAAGCACTTCCTGCCAAAGTTTAGGAAGCTTCTACACAATCCCAAGAGGAAGTCCCACAAGACCTATAACTTGGTTCCGTAAAGCTATGTTTCAGTGATCACCAACCGTGCACTTAGACGAGCTCCCAGTAGAAACGCTTTTCTTTCTTCTCTCCATTTCTGAACCATTGGCTTGAAACACCTGGTCCAAATTCACCTCTTTTAGGAAGTCTTCTTGATCTTACCCAGTTTTCTAAACTGGTTTGTCCATCTTCATTTTGAATTCTGTATGCCGTCATCCTTGATTGTTGTTTGGTAAATGTCTTTAATGACGTTTTCATGATCTTTTCATGTGTGTCACCTCTCCATTATATATATGCTCTCATTAAAAGCCCCCTTGAATCAATGTGGGGAGGAAGACGGGAGGAAGGAAGGAAAGACAAGACAGTTAAGGAAGGATACTGGAAAATACTGGGTTGTCGGAAAAGTCATGATGTCCTTTTTCTATGTTTTTTTGTTGCAAAAATGCATCATGACTTTTCCGACAACCCAATAAAAATGGAAGGCTTGGGGAAATAAGATAATGGGTTGAGAGGAGGAATTTGTTCTATTGTGACTCTTAAAACTTAATTTGCTTCTTAACACTCTTATCAACTTTGAAGCATTTAACAACCTGATTTCAGAAATGAAGGGGTCACTTAAAATGTATTCTATCCTCTTGCAGCAGCTTATTTATCACTATGTCTTGGAAAGATCAAGCAAGTCCAAGAAAGTTCTCTCGGTCAACATTTTTAGTAACCCAAGTATTGTTTGGGGAATTCTCATTTTTTTCTGACTTTTTTTTCGATTTTGGCATTTAATTTGTTAAAATAGCCATGTATCGTGTATGCGTGTGTATGCACACACATTCATACACCTGTTCATTCATTCATGATTTTATATGTAGATTGAACTGTGGGTACATTTTGTTTTCTAGAATGAGAGAAGTAGAGTAAGGAAAGTTTCCAATTCCACCTTATTTTATTTAGTCTTAAATAGAGGGCTTTATGAGGTAATAAAAGGAAAAGAACAGCTAACACTATTATTTTGTTACTGTGACTTGTCACATTGGCAAAAATACAAAGAGCCAAGGTATAAGGGGTCAAATCAGATGACCTGATATGGAGTCCAGTTTGCCAGTGGGACCTTTAAAATGGGGGGGGGCAATCTAGATCAGTGACCCTTAACTTAGGGGTTTTGATTCACTTAGTGGCAAATGCAACAAAATATTCAATAGGTAATTCTGATGCCCAATCAAGAGCTATTGGTCTATGTAGTATTTAAAATCTCTGTTGGCACTAACAATCTGAGAGCCTCAGCTTCCAAGCAGTTACAGTTCTTCCTTTACCATTTCATACCATTTTATATATTTTATCTTATATATTTCTATCACTACGTCATACATTTCACCATCCAGAGAATGGCTTCCAGTTGGTAAAGGCTGTGTCTTCTTGCCCTTTGAAGCCATGGAATAGGGGCTTGGTAACTTTTCGAGCTGACTTGAAATTACCCTTCCTCTCAGGAGCTGAGTGCTTGTAGGGAGGTTCAGGGCCCTCTGGGCACCTCAGATGCCCATTGCCTATTTGGAATCTGATCCATTTGGATGTTGAGCAAGACACTGTCCTTTAGACTCAATCTAAGTGTTGGATTTGGGGGCATGATTCTTTAGGGAGGGCTTGATTCTAGAGGAATGATGCATTTAATGGAGTGGCCTGAGTACCCTCCAAGCCTGTGCTCCTTATTCTAGGTCTGTTCCCCTGGAAGGTGTTGAAGAATGGGGCTGGGAAGGCTGTTTGTGAGTTGCACATATGGCGAAGTTGCCATGAGGAACTGGATTCTAGAGGCCGCATATAGCCACAATCCAATCTAGTAAAAATTATGGTAGAAAATCCAGAAGCTATCCACAATGATGGCAAGATGCCCCCACACTGAGAGAGATGGGAACGAAGAGTGGTGGGAACACAAAATGTGTGCCCATTCAGTTACACATTGACTGTACGGCATCTGATGTTTGAGTGGAATAGTAGGCCCATTCTCTAGTCATTCCAAATTGTTTATTTATTTTACTTTTTATTTCTGGTTTGACAAGCACTCTCATACTTGCACTTGGATGAGATAAATGTGTGTGTGCTTTAATTCTGTTCTATGGTCTGTAAGCAGCTCTGCTTTTGGTTCATCCCGGAGTTTGTGCTTCATTTGACCCTGAGGAACTGGAGGATTTCATAATAAGACTTTTGAACCTAGAGTTCCTGTGGCATTTTGGTTTTCATCAAGCAATGCATTCACCTTTTTCGTTTTTATCTTGGTAAACTATTTTCCTGTCCCTTTATCCACAAAGCATGAGGTCTGCCTTCCTTCTAGCTGTTACCCAGAGCCTAATACTAGGTCCTCTATGTAAATTTATGTGACATTTTCACTAGAAAATTGCTTAAAAAATGAATGATATTTCTATGGTTTACTGTTTTTCACTTTAAGTACGTTTTTTGACAATATGTCGTCTATTAATCATTTAAGCGATAGTGGGAGCCTTAAAGGAGTGTATTCAGAAGCAAGAACCCATGGTTCATTTAGTGCTGTCTAAAAAAATTTTCTTATTGATTGGCATCCTCTGTGGTTATGTGATGTAATATTTATAATATGTCACCCAGCCATACATCAAAACAAGTATGTCTGTCGTTTCATTTCCAAGGGAGATGTTGACTTCAGAGAGGTCTGCCCAGGTTTAGGTCACATTGTGGCCAACCACTGGACCAGAAATGGGAAGTGACTAGATTTATGGACTTATTGGAAATGGCTTCACAGATGCTTTGGTGTCTGCAGAGTCTTTCCTCCCCTCCCCCCACGTCATCCCTTTTCCTTCCTCACTTGCCCTCTGTGTATCGGGTTGGATTTTCTTGGCACACATTCCCACAGTAAAACAGGCTCATTAATTCTGTATGTGAGCATGCACATACTACCAAGTTGTCGAGCAGTGCCCGGGGCCTGCTGGGGCAGGAGTAAAACCCTGCCTGGAGGTTCTCTTTGCCATTCATCATAGATCATGCCTGAGAACTGTCCATTGCCATGTTATTATAGGAGCTTAAACCTGCCCATACTTTGCTATGTGTACACACTGTGCTGCTATTTTGGGATGAATGTTGAATGGAGGTGAATGTGATAACCAGCAGCCTTTGGGATTTGAGCAGGAAGAGAGAGTGGGTGAGGCAGAGCTTGGCTTGGGAGACCACCATCATTCTAAGAAACCACCTGGGGCCTCCCGTGGAATTCAACACTGGCCAAAAAATGAATCAAGGTTGGGAAACTTGGATGCCCAGAATGGTCTATTTCTTGTCTTCCTTTGCAAATATTTTCTTTCTTCTTCCTGCAGGAAAGAAAGTAGAGTGCAGGTCAACAGTACACAAGTGCTGGACCTCCGTTGTCAAATATGGGAGTTGGTCTCATGGTCTCTTAGCTGTCGTCCTGTCACTAAACCCTTGTTTGTCATTCATTCTTTCCTGCCACTGCCTCTCCTTCCTCCTCCCCGCCAGTAGGCCCCTCTGTATTTCTCACAACTTTAAATTATTTCAAATGTGACACCCTTCCTTTGTTCCCTCTAAGGGAGCAGCCCTGGGGCCTGCCCAGTGTCTGTAGCACTCAGCCAAAGGAAAGGAGGGAGGGACCCTCGCCGTCTGTTGGCCATCCTGGGCTACCACCATTTCCCGGCCAAATAGGAGCTGTAAAACTTGTGGCTTACATAACCCAGCGAGCATTCTCTAGCTAATCTACAGTCTGGGCTTTGAAGATCACAAGAAAGCAAAGGTCACGACCCAGAGATCAAAGTGACAGAAGCCCACAGAGTAATTGCTGGCTGCCCTCTGTAGAGGGCCTTGGTCTGTCTTGTGGGTGTATTGTTTGCAGGGAGACTTCAAACATCCTGCCGGTGAACTGTGAGGACAATCAGCTGGCCTTTGCCAGTTGTCAGACATTCATTAATGCTGTAGGTGAGCTCACCTCGGCTCATTAGAGTGAGATCATTGTCATCTCTCGGAGCATCTGGAGTTAGTCCACTCACAGTGTTTGTTCATTACTCTTTGGTCTTTATTGACTTTTTTCTCACAGCCCTCTTTTACCTGGAGGTGCAAGGGGGTGGTTATATAAGGAAATTGGAGTAATAAGAAAGGAGGATATGGATGTATTTATTGTAAATTAACTTTGAGACACAGAATTCAAGCAAGCTGACGCTTAAGAGAGGCTTAGGCATCATTTAGCCCATTCCCTTCCTTGCACAGCTGGAGAAACTGAGGCTTGGGAGGACCGTAGAGACTGAACCAAGATCTCACAGCAAGATAATCCCAGAGCCTGGGCTCTTTCCTCTGCCTGGCTAGTCCCAAGTCTTTTGTTATGAAAACCTCCCCTCTTTTTTAAATTTTCTTCCCACACTTTAAAGCTTTGTCTCTTAAATAAACTCCATTGAAGCCATTGCAAACGTTTTAAAATGAGTCAGACACATTTAGCTGTTGATCAGTGCTTTTGATCAGCATGAGTTAACCAGTGTTACCAAACAGGGTTGATGTAATCCAGTTGAAAGCAAGGAAGCTTGATAGTTTGTTGGCATGTTTGCTCTATTCTTTTCAGCTTTGTGAAAGATTGAAGAACAGTTTGTGGATTACCCATTGCCTCCTTCAGGGGCATCCAGTTGGGCATCAGTAGCTTGCGCTATCTCTCCCCTCCCCCCACGCATGAGAGCAAATAGGCAGCCAACTAATGGGAAGAAGCGTAGAATGCCATAAATGGAAGGAAGTAGGAAAAAAAACACCCTCCAGTTCCCTCAGAATCTAGAAACTTGGTGTTTCTCGAGTAGAGCCTCCTCAGAGAACGAAGCAGGGCTGCCCCAGGAGCAGACAACAGAAATTTGTCTCGGCATTTCTGTGTTGTGTGATTGTTTTGGGGGAGCAGCCAGCGTCCCTCAGTTAGCAGCTGTGGGCAGGAGGGAAGCGCATACTCCTCCCCCTTTGAAGTCTGGATGAAAAGTGCTGGAGCTTTGGGATTTGGGCAGAGAAAATTGATTTTGGAGTAAAAATCAAACAAAAAAAGCTTCCTGCCGTTCCTTTTCTCCTTAGGTGTCTCCTTAGCCCTGTCCTTTAAGTAAAATGGAGTGGGGATTCTGTATGAAAAGAGAGAGAACCTGAAAAGCTCTGCACGTGGGTCTCACCTTTAGAGAATCTGTTTGCAGACAGAGACAAATAGGTCTTTAAACACCGCCCCAGGACCCCTGATCTCCTCTGCATAACCTCACCTTCCATATCAGCCCCTGATGTCTACTCCCCAGCCCTGGGACATTTGCCGAGCCACTTTGGGAAGGTCAGGAAAATTGGAGTTGCCCTCTGGAGCTAGGGATGAGAGAGTTAGAGCTTAGATGGATCTCTTTTCATTAAGCAGTGTCCTGGCTTAACAAGCGGTTTTATAAATCTGAAGCTGTCTCCGGGTGTCGCAGGATTTATAGACGGGGATTTCTGCCATAAAGTGGTTTATGATGGCTGCCTTCTGTGTTATTAGTAGCTGTCTCTTCCTTCAACCATTGCTGTTTGATAATAGCCTTAAAACACCCAGAATTACTTACCTGCAAGCCCCATTCCCGATAGCCCCTGTTGACAGTCTGAATAAGTTTACTGCCCTTTTGTTGTACTTTACCTTCAAAACAAACTGATTGAACCATCAATAGCTCGTGGAAGCTGACAGAGGCATGTCATGTGGACTAGCCCTTGTGATTGCAGGTTATCTGGGGGAGTTAACCTTCCCGCATTGTTAACTGAAATGTTTTATGTACTATGCAACTTTAGGATACGGCTGTGATAACCTCAGTAACTAAGTCATACATCACGGTAAAGAGATTTTGGTGCAACAAATAACCTTGGATTAAATTTACAAGGGTTGAATTGATATTGTAAAAGCCTTCATTCTGTGGCTTCGGGAATCCTCTCTTGTGTTTTTATGGCAAACTTGTATTATACTCAGGATTGAAGCTGCAGCTCTTGACACCCTGACATGACCTAGAACAACGGGAAATAGATCTTCCGAGACCGGGATGGCACAGTCAAGCAGAAAGCCCACTGACTTATCACTTGGCAATACTGTGGGGAGCCAGTTCCACATCACCAAGGCGCAGGAAGATCTGGTGGACGTGGCCACCGTCTGGGCTGTGTGTGCCATAGGCGTGGTGCAGGGCGCAGGGTGCACCATTAGCAGAATTGAGGAGGACACTCTTTGTCGCCTTCCAGCCTCATAATCCCCAAACTACTGTTATTTCTCGTGGTGTCATTTTCCCATGGACCGTGGTTCTCAGCAGGACCAGCAGCATCAGCCGCACCTGGGAACTTGTTAGAAATGTCAGTCCCGGGCCCTACTGCCATCTGTGTTTCAGCAAGCCCTCCAGAGGATGCTGATGCCCTCCCAAGTTTGAGAACCACTGTACTAGAATATAAGCTCCCTGGGAGCAGGGTCCTTGTCTATTTTGTGTATCACCCACTCTCAGCACCTGGCACAGTTCCTGGCTGGTGGTAGCTGTGTGATAATTATTTTTTGGGTGAGTGAAAATAGGAGTGAGTGAGCGAGTGAAAGAAGAAATCTCTAAGGGAGGAACTTCGGATGCTAGGCTGGGTCTCAGATCCAATAATTTGGGGCAAGCTTTCCTAGTGTCTCTCAAATCTCTCTAAGCAGCAACCACCTGGAAACCTCAGGATGAGGGTCAGGTCACCTCTAGTTTCAGGGTGACTGGAAGCCTATTTCATGGGCTGTTTCTTTGGTTGTGTAAGAAGAGTGCTCTGAAAAACAGCTCTTTGTCATCTAAAATTTTTAACTAGCATAAAAGCCAGCATATCTCTCTCTCTCTCTCTCTCTCTCTCTCCCTCGCTCTCTCTCTCTCTCTCTCCCCCTCACCTTCCCTCCCCCACCATCTCTCTCTCCTTTGATTTCAGGGCTGTGATCCAAAGTGGGGGGAAATGACAACGTGCTGTCTGTTGTCATCGTGGTTCCTGGCAGCCCCGTGATGACATCTTTCATTCCATTATTAAACATTGGCTGATTTTCTAATACTGATGTTTTCTTCACCTGAATATTCATCTTTTCCCACCCTACACTTAGTGGGTGTCTTTACTCCTTTGAGCATCACTCCTGACATATTGTTTCCGTCTGTACATGTCTTTTCTGAAAGAATCTGTTGTCATCAAGACTGCTGCTACAAGCAGAAGATGGAAGTTTTCTCTGACATTGACTGAGGCCAGTGGGAGTTCTGTTGGGGGCCAGAAAGGTCATTTGAACCTTTGTGGAATTTTTTTGATTTGGGGTAAGATTAGGGGGCATTTGGAGAAGGAAGGGAGAGGCTCAGGGAGAAATGGGAAAGAAGGTAATAGATTGAAGCCAGGGAGGAAGCAGGAAATAGTCAAATTTCCAGGACCTCAGATGTTGGAGTGCCCAGTTCTGGGGAGGAAAAGTATACCTCCAAAGAATTTTAGAGTGTTTTGACTTTAAAAATGAGTAATATAAAGGTTATGACTAGAGGCCTCTAAGTTGTTGTCTCTGACATTTGAGTGATCAGCTAAGTCTTCTACCTGGACAAGCACATGGCAGTCTCCTGGTTATGTGAGACCACCTAATGAATGTGGGAGTTGGCCTTGGGCCCCAGGCTCCCCTGAGACAGTGGGCACACTGCTTACCCCAAGTAACATTTGCACTGAGAGAAAGCTAAGTGCTTGGTGTTGCTTTAGGCTTTGGTTCTCTGAAGCCTGCTTGAGACTTCCTGTTCCTCCTCATGCTTGTCTACCATTAGTTTTTAGTCATTCAATGAGTAATATCAGGTCCCTTTCTCTGTGCTCCCCAAAATACTGTATAACCTCAATCTTGGCACTTAGCTACACTGATTTCCATTATTCCCATTACACTAAAAACCCCTTTCAGTGGAGGGACCATGTGGTAATCACCTTTGTATACCTAGGGCCTGCCTGGTATATAGTAGGTGCTCAAGAAATGAACTGGCATTTTATTGAGTTAATTCTCATGCTCCTTTTCAAGAGGGTATGAGTGTAAGTAAAAATGTGTGTTCCTGGGCCGGCCGAGTGGCGCGATGGTTGGGAGCTCGCTTGGGATGCCAGAGGGCCCCGGTTCGGATCCCACATATGAGGGCCAGTGACACTGCCCTCTACAGCTAAGATGCTGAACAACAGCTCAACCTGGAGCTGGGCTGCCGTGGGTCGCCGGCGACGGCGTGGGCTGCAGCCCCTGTGGCGGTGGGTTGCCATGGGCTACCGTCTGTAGCCAGCAGCCAGCGTGAGCGGCCAGCAGCCGCAGTGAGCGGCCGTCCAGAAGCCAGCGACTGATCTGCCTCGCCCTGGAAGAGCGCGATGATGGTGCCAACTTGGGCCAGTGAAGCAACGTCCTCCACAACTAGACTGAAGAACAAACCGACAGCAACTTGTCTGTTCCCCTTCCCCCAATTCCCCAGCACTGTTGCCATCCCCCAATTCCCCAATTAAAAAAAAATGTGTGTTCCTTCCTTCAAGAAACTTATTGTTTATGTGAGGACATCTTGAACTAAATTCCTGAGTATCAGCCAAATTGATTGGCTCTTTGAGATGGTCACCCCAACCTTCCTTAATTGTCTCTGCCTGTTCCCTTCCAGATGCTTTGTTCTACACAAGCTGCCCAATTTAAAGTTTTTAGATGCCCGGAAAGTAACCAGACAAGAACGAGAGGAAGCTTTGGTCAGAGGGGCATTCATGAAAGTAGTGAAGGCCAAGGTAAGCTGTTTGCTCCCTGATCTCACATGACTGGATACTCTCTGAGCATGGACGATGTCTTCCTATGTGCTGAGAATGCGGGAGGGATCTCACATGAGGGGATCTCACCTGAGGGGATGATACACTATGAGCCAGCCCAGAAGGAGGACCAGGCATAGATTGGGTCTTCCTGTGACCCACTCTAAAGGGACCTTAACTGTAAGGTGATTTCATCCAGGTGGCTCTTTTACCACTAAGGGAGCACCATACCCAGTCCAGTGGTGATGGGGTGGGTTTGAAACCTCCTTCTTGAAGATGGTTCATTGACACTGTGGGACCTCTGCAGATTTGGAGCTGCGAAAGGAGAAAGAGGAAAGCATTGAACATTTACTATTTCTCAGGTGGGTACGATTCCTCTCATGCCTCAGAGGGGGCCCTTCACTCTTGGGCCCAACAGGGAGCAAGGGGACAGAGATTTTCCTCAGTCCACAGATGAGAGCCCATCAGCTCTCAGAGGTGCTGTTAGTGGGAAGCAACTTTTCCTGACAACGTGACCTGGGACTGGTGAGTGCTCTCTCCATGTAGCTCTCTAGAGTTCATGGGATGATGTTTACTGACCTTTCCTGTACCAGCTGCGTCTGCACTGAGGCCATGGCAGTGACTGTGGCATCATCTTAATGATAGCACTGATGAGGCGGGGGAGATCTGGCTTTGGGTCTTGGATTCCGACAGAAGATTTTTAAGGACATGAATGACTATCTTATTGGGAGGAATCGGGGTCCTTCAGTGAAACCCAAGGCTGGGGAATGGACGTAATGACCCTCGGTGACCCCTTTGGAGGTCCGTCACTGCCCTGGGACTCTGTGGAGCTAGAGTCATTTCCTGTGGGATCCTAGCTTGTGTGTTGGAAACACTGGCCCAGAAATCCTAGAGTTCTAGTTTGTCCTCACTTATTGACTTAGAGGGCTCTGCACATGCATTGAAAATGATTAAGAGGGAAAGAGAAAAAACAAACAGAACCAAAACAGAAAAAGAAAACCTCTTCCATCAAGCTGCTGGGCTGGCAGCAGACCTCAGGCCACTTTCTTTTCCTCAATCCATGAGGTGCAATTATTTCCCATTATGCTGAATACAATCGCAACAGTTGTGGAAATATGTGCTATGGAGGGTATAATGCTGGCAGATAAATGCATTGTTACCTGTTTCAGCATGTGGGAAATTAATTGAGTGATTTGTTTCATAGCTATTAAAGTGTTAACAGTTTTCCTTATTGAGGCAGATTTGACGTATTGCTCATGGCTGCCTTGCGTTACTTCGACTTTTGTAATTTTGTCCACATGAAATAATTTATTTCTTGGCCTCCTCTTTTATTATTATTATTTTTTTATTAAAGGATTCCAGAGACAGCCACATCACCAAACCAAACAAAGTACAGCAAATGAAGTGTTTGTAGTAGCTTGGGTCTCTGCTCATCCTCCATTTCTCACCCTCACCTGTACAGGCACTTTATAGACTAGATCAGTAATTCTCCTGCTGTCGTCGTCTTCGACACGGGCAGTTCTGCTTCGTCACTGGAAATCAGAAGGGGTGGTAGCTGCCAGATTTGGGTAGGGTGCTCTCAGTGTGTCCACTGTTCTAAGGTTCTTTGCATAAAGGTTTGTGAGTCCTCGCGTGACCCTGTAATGTAGAAGGCGGGGAGCACTGGTTTATGCTACAGATGAAGTCGCTCAGGCCTAGAGATGTTAACTGGGCTGCCCAAGTCGCCAGGCTAGTAACTGCTGCAGCTTTCTTTACCTGTGTTCCTGACCACAGACCCCACCTTCTTCCACTCTGATTCCTTACCCCTGGATCAGTGAGCTGAACATTTCCCCTGTGCAGCTCTCTGTATAAACCAAACCTCATAGGAAAGCCTAAATGAAGAAAACAGGTAGCAGCAGGGCAGCTCTGTTGGAGGAGAGATGGCAGGAGCAGCAGGGGGCGGGGCCGGGGCGGGGCCGGGGCGGGGGACTGAAATCCTCCCTCTTTGAAAGCAAATGGGAATGGCTCTTCCAAATCTGGTAGAGCTGGTTGTCTGAGCCATTAGCAACTTAAGCAGAAACGCTCTTCAAAGCCCCATATTAGCTTCTAATCAATTAGAGAATTAGCTCATGTTCGTGTGATTGACTCTAACATCTTCACTAACTGTATTAAGCTTAAAAATAATCCATTAGTTATTTGAGGAGAGGCAGGGGTACTCTGACAAAGCATGGGGACTTTGGGTTGCTAACCTTTTGTAGTCACATGATTTCCAAACTGGAGAGGACTTCAGGAATCACCTGGTCCGTGATCTCATTTCCTGGGTGAAGGAGCTGGGAGAGGATGTAGTTTCCTTAGGCCCGCACAGTCCCATGGAGTCAGACTGGAACCAGAGCCCAGGGGCCTGGGCTTCCAGCTAAGTGTTCTAGTTACTCCAGGATCCTTCAAGTGCACCAGAGGCTTTCTCTGTGTTCCTGGTTTCGTATCAAACTGTGTGCCTTTCTTGAGTGGCAGGCAATTTCCTTTTGTCTGTTTTCAGAGATATGCACGGGTACTTTTCTGGCAGATAGAGAGAGGCCAAATGAACTCCTTGCTGAATTAATAAATGTTCAAAAGGCTGGTTCTCGCATGCTCACAGTACATACAGATGTATGTTTGTTCCTACGCAGGTGTGTATACACGCTTTTGGTCTCTGTGTATATATACATATGTATGTGCTGGGAGGTGTGTATATGCCTGGATCCAGCTCCTAATGGAGAGCAATTTCCTCCCCGGGAATTGCCGACGCTGTGCTGAGCACACTGGGTGAAGACCTATTTTTCATAACGGCATCAGAATCTCAAGTTGGCTTCTGTCCTTTCGGAGGCTGCGGCGGCCTGTTGTGCTTATTCAGCAGAAGGCTCTGATGGATGATCAAGGGGGCTGTGATTTGGGGAGCTGTTTTCATTTTATTTCTGACATAAAGTATTTGGGAGAATGGAAAATGCCTCTCCAATCGCAGCCCTTGCCTCAGAGGTAGGGAACAGGCAGTGTGGGTGTTCTCAGCTGACGCAAATGCAAAATCATCCCAGAACAAATAAATGCCCATTGTCACAGAGGTTTGATTTGGTACCTAGCAGGCCCTGGCACTTGAGTGCGAGGTCTCTCTCATTTTCTGTTCTGATCACATTGCTGCCTTCATTGCTGCCTTTTGGCTTTTGTTGTTTAAAGGCTGCCTTCTGTCCGATTGTTCTAGAGAAAGAGGCGGCCGTTCATGAGACAGTGATAGCTAATGCTACAGTGGACTTTTCTAGACCTGTGCACGTGTGAATGTGTGTATTTGTGTGTTGTTAGTTAATGGACTTAAAACAGGCTTTGTTCATTTCACAGAATTTTAAAGAAAATATATATCTTTGTCTAACACTGACCATTGAATCATGCCATTGTTAATGCAAAGAGCACCAAGCTGGGTGCAGGGAAGGCTGAGGCCCCCCAAAGAAAGGCTTCTGTAATGACCAGACCGTGACCCCCTCACTGCACCGGGAAATATAGATCAAAGCGGTTGGAGAGGCCTGTCCAGGAGGACGTGCGGGGAAGACACGCCAACCCGGCACATCAGAGAGACAGTTCAAGAATCCACAGTCAGAATTGCTTAATTATGTCCTGGCTTTGTAATTATTCATCCCTGTTCTGGCAAAGAGCACAGCTGTCATTTCTTTGACTTATATTTAAAGCTGAGTCCTCTTGTTTACAGACACATACATATAGTCGGTTTTCAAGTACTTAATCATCAGAACCTTATAGAAGCGATAGGGAGAGGAACTACGTGGGCCGCTGGACTGAGAGTCGCAGCCTGTGTTAGAAAGTATTCTCACTTGTATACTTCTGCTTGTAATTGTGGCCATTCACTTGTAGGTAAGATATGGTAATAGGTATGTGTGTGTGTGAGTAGGAGGGAGATGTGATGCGTTAACGGAATAAGCTTCTGAGTGCCTATACCTTCCGTAAATCTTTTTTATTCTCCTCCTTAAACTGAAAGTTGAAAGTGATTTGGATCCCAGGAACACCTGCTTCCATGACTACATTACACAGTCTTGCTCTTGACCCTTGGAGTTGGGCCCTAACTCCCCTGGGTAACTTTAGTTTCCTCTATCTGCGCCCAGCTTTTTGGATTTCTACAAAAAAAGGCAACCTAACATAAAGACAGGGAATGGAAGCATCGGGAAGCAGCAGCAGCTCATCTACTGGGGTGTCCACTCCATGAGGGCAGGGGCTTTTGTTTTTTCACTCTTGTATCCCCAGTGCCTGGTCTAGAGCAGAGGCTCAGCTGGAAGAATGAACTGTGAACGGAGCATATTGGAAGATCCATCACCACGGTGGTTCCATTTTTTTATTGCCTCACTATGGCTCTCTGGAAAGGCAGGAAAGGGACCTTTGCCTTAAGAAAATGTAATAATTTGAATCTGTGTGTTGGCAGAAAAGAGAGATTCTGGGTTGCATATTTGTTTTTCCAAAGGATTTACTCTGGGATTACTTATGAAGGCAAAATCTACGGCCCCTGCGATCCCTGGGCCTCGGCTTCGCCAACACGTAGCATTGCTGGGGGAGGCGAGGGTGCACTCTGTGCTGTATTCTCCATCACTGCTCCAGGGATCGTCTGAGTCCTTCTCCCAGCATCCACCTGCTCGCATTAGGGCTTTTAGGAAATGAAAAAGTAGCTTTTCTCAGAAAACATGTTGGGGCGCTCCACAAGCCTGTGTGTAGTTAAAATGAGATTTTCCCTCTCTTAGCTGGTATTGTATTTTTTGTCTTAACCATAAAGGAACTCAGTCTAGTGGCTTGTTTGATTCCCTTAGTTGTTTTTCATGTCTGGCCTAGTTCTTTACTTGGTGCTCTCTTGTTCTAAAGCACATCATATGTCTCTCACATCTTCTATTACCCTTATCTAGCCCAATTGCAAACATGTAAAAGGTTATCAAAAAATATCTCTAGATTGACTGCAACCACTAACATTTACTCTATACTTAACATCCTCAAGAATATATATTTTATATAAATCTAGGGTATGCCTATAAATAAATATTGTAAACCATGTGTACATACAGCTAAATAGACGATAAGCAAATATATGTTGAATGTTCTCTACTATGCCAAACATTCAGGAGAAAACTAAAAATGTCAGGTGATTTTCTGGATATTTCTAACTACCTGAATATGTTAGTGTTTTATAGTTCTCTTCTGTTTTTACACAGATGTTCCTTGTCTAGAGACATATTCAGATTCTATTTTTAGTTGCTTTATAGTAAATTTTGAAGGGAG